GAAGAGTAGGAACTCATCAGCCTTTATTCCATCCATGATAAACTGTTGATTGTAGCACAAAAAACAAAAGATTCAGATACTGATATTGAGATTCAAGCTTCAATCTAAAGATCAGACAGACAAAGCAGCAAATCCACTAGCTCTTACCTGTATCTCAGACCAAAGAGGGGGCCCTCGGACTCCTACTGACTTCAGTGGTCATCAGATTCAATAAGACTACTAAGGTTTCCTCAACATGGCTAGAGACAAATTCGTAAGACTGAAAGCCTCTAACTTTAATGCCTTTCAATTTCTGGAATTAGAGGCATGAGTTCTTCTTCACTCTCTGGTAGCCCATGTTGGTCTTGGACTCTGAGATCCATCCTCCTTTCTCCTGAGTCCTAGGATGAAAGGTGTGTACAGTATCCAGGCTCCTTGTATATTTTCCATCTTTACATGGCTTTTGAATCTCTCTTCACTCAAAATCTTTACCCTTTTCTGGCACCTGGTCTTTTATGTGCTAAACAACATTGCTAAAATTAAAGCAGTGGTTGTTTTAGCTGCTGTCTTTCTAAGATGGTGGGGCTATATTTACTGCCAGGACTGAAAGCTGTGCTTATCGACTTGGTCTTTGCTGCCATCAAGGAGCATTTTGCCGGCTTGGAGATGTGGTCACTGCCACTGCCACTGCTTGTACACACCATTCAATTGTTAGCAGGGCCTCTTAAAAGGTAGTCCTGCAGCTTTTTCCACTTATGCTGCCTCACAAGACCTCCCTTAAGGGAGCCACTCCAGTCTCTGCTTATTTTTAACAAAACAGAGACCACCACAAAAAATGCTGCTACAAAGAAGTCTTGCTTTTCTCTGTTCTTTTGCTTCTAAAATCCCCTTTTAAGCTTTTGTGGAGTTTTTATGTGGAAGTTTGTAAAACCACCTGGTTACCATTTCTAATGATAACTCTTTCCTCCAGACTCATGAGTTACGCTTCCATGTTAGGGACCCAAATATCACACAGAGTCTTATATTATTGACAATGCTGCTGGCCAATGAGTAGGATTCTCATTTGCTAGCTCTGTCTTAGGTATCAACCATAACCATTAATATATATGTTTTATAAAGACTAATCTTATCAAGGCCACCAGAAGCATGTGTCCTTTTTTCCTGGGATCACATGGTGACTCCTGACTTTACTACATTTCCCAGAATCCTGCTCAAATCCTAGCCTCACCTATCTTACTTCCCTATTGGCCAACAGTGTTTTTATCAACCAATAAGACAAACATATACACAAAAAGAACTCCCCCATCAGTTTCTTTTACAAATGTGTGTGCCCTTATATTTGAGGCATAGATGTTAATATTGACACTTCATCTTGATGGACTTATCCTGTGATGAATATGAAATGTCTTTCTTCATTTCATTTGATTAATTTTAGCTTGAAATCTACTTTGTTAGGTGTTGGGATACCTACACCAGCTTGTATCTTTAGTTCATTTAATTGGAAAAATCTTTTCCAAACACTTTACTCTGAGGTAGTACCTGCCTTTTAAGTTAGGGTGTGTTTCTTATATGTAGCAGAAGGAAGGGTTGTGTTTTTGTATATATTTATTTAGCCTGGGTCTTTTTGTAATCAAAATGAGACCATTGATATTTAGAGATAGTAATGTTCAGTGAATGCTAGTGCCTGTTATTTTAGATTTTGTTGTTGTGGGTTGTACTGTGTGTGTGTGTGTGTGTGTGTGTGTGTGTGT